TGAGAACAAGGAATTTCCAGTCTTTAGCAAAAGGAGAGACAAAGAGAGAGGCAAAGACTATGAGAAACTGTAGAAAAACAAAGATAAGGGCTAGGGGGTGGGGGAGATGACAGAAGGTGTGGGACAAATACAAATATCTTCATTTCTTCTCTTTTTCTCCCTGGGCCCCATTTTCCCCCGGGTGGCTCAGGACCACTTCCTGACCTGACTCCCCCCACCCCACCTCAAGGGTTCCCAAGGGGCACGCAGAGCAGGGCTACAATCGATTTAATTAATTGATTTATTGTCTATAAGTAATGTATTAATAAACAACTGGCTACTTATTAATCATTCCTAGGCACATGTAGATCTTCATCTAGCAGTTTGCACTGCTCACTTCCCCTCCCCCCGAAGTTTCACCGGGCCAAATCATGCTCACTCAGCAAGATCTGGCTCAAATGACACCTTCCTGGACCCTCTCCTTGCACCCACTCTAGGCAGAATTAATCCCTCCCATCCTTCAATGGCTTCATGGCTCTCTGTACACATTACAATTATAGTTGCTTGTTTCATTCTCAGCCTACCACGTCCCCTGGGTAGGTCTGGTATCTGGTGGGCCCTCTGAAATGAATGAGTTGATGATGCTATTTCCAGGTCTGAGCAACTTTGAAAAGGGCAATTGACACGGATTTTACTCCAAAAGGAGCTGAACCTGGGCAAAACTGTTCAAGTGGAGCTATTTGTTTTTCATGTCTCCTTTAAGTTTCCAGTGAGTCTCTTAAGTCTGGCCCCTTGGTTTTTCAAAATGTCCACTATTCCGGTGAATTAAGTCATGCTCGGGTGCTAAAGGTAGAAGATTGGAATCTTTGCTGTTAATAGAAAAATATAAAGTAATGATGCTCCTTTTTTCCTCTTCCAGTAAAATGTTAGAATTATAGTCTAAGGAATGTTGTTCTCCAATTTAGTCATCTTACAGGAGATGCTTCACTCCTCATAAAGGAACTACCTTTAAGGAGTTCATAGACTAGTAGGAGAGAGACATATAAACACATAATTACAATGTAGTGTTATAATAGGGGTACGAACAATGACAGAAAGATGGGGTACAAGTGATCTATTCTGCCTGGGGTTGTGAGGCATAAGTTTAGGCAGGCATCCAAAGGAGGTGGTGATGATGCAGCCTAGGATTTTGAATTCTGAATAAGAGATTTCCAGGAGGAAAAGACGGTTAAGTCAGAGACAGCAGAAGGTAAACTTACATGGAGGTATGAAACAGAATGATGTTTGAGAAACTAAAAATTGTTCAGTATTTCTGGATGGGGGGTAGTGGTGGTAAAAGAAAAAAAAAAAAAAAAGCCCAGGGAGGTATACAAGGCCATCTCATTAAGATTATAGACTAGGACTTCCCAAACTATAGTAATGGATCAGTTTTTAAAAATTCCAATCTATTATCCACTACTTTCTTCCTTCCTTCCTTTCCTTTCCCTCCCTTCGTTCGTTCATTCGTTCCTTCCTTTGTTGTTCTAGCCACTACTTCTGTAAAATAAAAAGTGAGTTATTAGAAAAATGAAATGAAATCCCCATTAGATTCAATAAATATAAAATGTCTGTCATTACTATAAAAGTTTCTAAATGCTTACATTTAATTTTTGAAATTGTTTCATTACGGATTGGTAACAAACTTTGAATAGCACTTCTGTAGTTGTATCTTCACATCTACCTTTTGGAAGATACTAAGGACCCTGGACTCCATCACAGAAGATGCTGTGGAACCATAAAGATTTTGTAATAGAGGAGTTACAAGTTTAGATCTGCATTTAGGAGTAGGGTGGAAGAAGGGTTTTGTGGCTGCAAAAACAGCAGGGAGGCCAATATGGAGGAGACTAAAGTGGTTTAAGTGAGAGATCACAAAGTGCTGGACTTGATAGGAGAGGACAAATTTCAAAAGATTCAAATCAGTAAGACCCAGCAATTGAATGGCAAAGCGGTTGGGGAAAGAGAAAAATGAATAGGGTGACTCTTGGGCTTTGGCCTTGGATGACAGAGTAAATAGAATGCAATCCTCCTCAAAATGTTGGGAATTGTCTTCATCAAATATTCGCCTTTTGCAATCCTTTTCTTAACTTAAAAAAATATGAAAACCAAGTTTTTCATTACTCATTTGATGACATAACCTAATTTGACCTGAATTTATTTTATGGCAGATCTGACCTAAACTTAGGTGAGGTTATTTATAGTTTTTCTTTATCACACTTAGGTTTATCCCAGTGTGAATATTCATATCCTCATTGCAGAAATATGAATTTGTTCAATTACAATGTACAGTCCTAGACCCCATTGGAATTGCTGTTCTATATTGTATATGCACCACATTACCTTTCTAAAATTCAGAAACTTTTGAAACACATTTGCCACCCAGATTTCCCACCACATTTGCTCATCAGTCTTTGAGTTCTTTTGGTTATTTGCATAAATCAGATCCACCTGCAGATAATGAATATTCATTGCAATGTATGCTATAGACTCTGAAGATGATTCTTAAAGTGTTTTAAGCAGTATTAAGACACTGCCAAAAACATCTTGAGTGATTACTGTGAAGTGACAGAATTCATTTGGATGGTAAGGAGTGATGTGTTTATGGATAACCAGTCACATTCTTGTACACCTCATTTTTACATTTTAGCGGTCAGTGGTCAGTGATCTTCTGGAATTAGGCCCCAAACTTGGAATTAGTTCCTCGGTTCTCTGGCCTTTAGTCAAAACCAAAGCACGAGCTTTGAATGCTGAGAATTTGGGAACTGGTAGAAAATGAAGTATGCATGTGAGTATACACAAACTATTTTTAAAACAGTTTTAGGTTTACAGAAAAACTGAGAAGATAATACAGAGTTCCCATATACCCTATGCCCAGTTTTCACTATTAGTGTGGTATATTTGCCATTATTAATGAATCAGTATTGATATGTTGTCATTAACTAAAAACCCATAGTTTACTCAGATTTCCTTAGTGTTTACCTACTTTTTTTCTGTTTCAGGAGCCCATACATGATACCATACTACATTTGGTTCTTATGTCTCCTGAGGCTCCTCTTGGCTGTTACAGTTTCTCAGATTTTCCTTGTTATTGATGGCCGTGAGAGTTTTGAGGAGTACTGGTCAGGTACATTTTTTAAGGGGTTATTTATTTATTTTTTAGAGAGACGGGGAGGGAGGGAGAAAGAGCAGGAGAAAAAGATCAATCGGTTGCCTCTCCAGTGCTCTCAGTCGGGGACCAGGCCCAAAACCCTGGCTTGTGTCCTGACTGGGAATCAAACTAGCGACCTTTCCTTTTGCAGGAGGATGCCCAACCCACTGAGTCGCACCAGTCAGGGTTTGTCAGGTACTTTGTAGGATGCCCCTCTATTGTAATTTTTAAAATGTTTTTCTTGTGGCTATATTAGTTCTATGGGTTTGAGGGAGGAAAACCACAAAGATACAAATGCCATTTTCATCACCTGCTTTCAAGGCTATATAATATCAATGTGATTTGTTACTGTTGATATTGACCTCTCTAGATCAGCCAAGGGACTGTGTATGAGAGACATAGGATGACCATTGTCTCAAGGGTGGCCTAAACTCTTCTTTGTGAGGATAACATTTCTTCCCTTGTCCATGGCTCAGCCCCATTTTGACTTTTTAAAAATTCCTTATTTCTGTTCTGACTGGTGTGGCTCAGCTGTTTGGGCATCGTCCTGCAAACCAAAAGGTCACCAGTTGGATTCCCAATGGGCACATGCCTGGGTTTCAGGTTCTGTCACATAGGAGAAGCAACCAACCTGATCGATGTTGCTCTCTCTCTCTTCCTCCCTTTCTTCCCCCTCCCTAAAAATTAATTTTAAAAAATTCCTTGTTTCCGAAAGATTGAACCTTCCCCAGCAATTACCTCCTTCCCTGAAGTTCTCAGCTCATTAGGTTCCATCATGGGTAGTTTTCTACGCACCACTAGCAGATCCTCTTAAAAAATAAGATGCTTTACCTTGGCTGGTGTGGCTCAGTGGATTAAGTGCAGGCCTGCGAACCGAAAGGTTGTTGGTTTGATTACCAGTCAGGGCACATGCCTGGGTTGTGGGCCCAGTTCCTGGTTGGGGGCCTGCAAGAGGCAACCACAAGTAGATACTTCTCTTCCTCTCTTTCTCCCTTCCCTCTCTCTAAAAATAAATAAATACAATCTTAAAGAAAAAAAAATAAGATGCCTCAATTTCTAATATTTACCGAACACCTGTTATGTACCTGGCACTCTGTTAGGCCCGCACTGTGTGAATGGGAAGCAGCTTGATGCATAGGAAGAACTCAGGCTTTATAGTGGTAAGACTTGGATTGGAACCACGGCCCAACTAACTATGCGGTCTTTGTAAGTTTCTTTGGCCTCTCTTAGCCTTGGCTTTTTAAGTGGAGAAAATATTTGTTTCAGAAGATGTTGTGAGGAATAAAAAAACTTTCTCTTAATCCTCACATTCATTTCGCTTCCAAAAATATTTCTTTGACTACATTTTAAGTCATTTAGGACTTAACTTTAAAAAATTGTTCAGTCAGCACCCTACTTATAAAGAGCTCTCAATTATAAGTTTTCCGTAACAAAAAGACGTGATAAAAAAGAAAGAAGGAAAACAGAACGAGCTTGAAAGAGTCTCCATGGAAATACCAAGTTTGGTCGAAGAGGCCTCGCCCGTTCTGATTTTCCATTGGCTAACCTCACCATCAATCTCACTAGTTGTAAATAAACTGGAGACGGAAGCTTGTTGTTAGGGGGTGGAATCTTCCTGTCGCCATAGCTAAGGTAAGAACTGTTTTGTAATAGGCTGAAACTTCTGCTCCCGCCCTCTTGCATCAGTTGCTAAGAGGCGGGATTATTACAGGGTGCGCTGGGGACGGCTTGCTTGAAGCTCCGCCCACCCAATTGGTTGTTATGAGGCGGGCCTTGTAGCGGATAGGCTGCTGGCCCTGCCTGTTCGGGATTAGTTGTTGGGGAGAGACACGTGAGGAGGCGGTGGCGTGAGGCGACTATGGCGGGAGGAATAAAAGTGGCGGTCTCTCCTGCAGTTGGTTCCGGGCCCTGGGTCTGGGGGGCCGGGTACAGTGGGGCAATGCGGCTTCTCCTGGTCCTCTCCGGCTGCTTGGTCTGTAGCTCAGGTACCGGCCGGGCAGCATCTACCAAGGGGGCGGGTGCCGAGGAGTTGCATTTAGAAAAGTGGGGAGCGTTCCCGCGCACAGCCAGTTAGTCTGCGTAGTGGCGCAAGTGTGCGGGGACGAAGAAGCTTCATTGTCGGCGAATGGGCGTCGGCACTGAGGGGTCAGGGCCTGGGGCGGCGTGGTGGAGCTGCCCAGAGTGGGGAGGAGCCTGGAGCCTTTGGGCGGATACAGGAAGGGAGGCCTGGACTGAGGGAGAGTCGGTCCTGTGGATCCGCTTCTCGCTGTACCGACCTCCTCGAGTTTCCTCATTAAAAGGAAGGACACCCGAGGATCCTTCCAGGCTGGCAGAGCTGCCACTAGAAAGGGGGCATCCCATTTATTTAGCAGGTTAGCGACACTCTCTGAGTGTACGCTTTTTAGGACTCGGGGCATGGGTGGCTAAAATGCAGTAATCTCTAGCTAATGTCCTCTGCTTTTGTGAGATCCTGGCCCCTACCGGCGCTATGGAACCGACCTGGGGCTTCGAGTCCTTAAATTCCCATCTCAAAAAAAAAAAAAAAAAAAAAGAAAGAAAGGAAAAAAAAAGAAAGCAAGCGCCATTCAACATCGAATAGGTTTCTTTTGGAAATTAAATTTGATACTTATTACTGGATAATTGGCTTTGGACTGGGTTTAAACTTTTCCTTTTCTACTCTAATCCAGAAAACCTAGTGTTTGTAAGAATCTCGATCTACTCCCTCTTGTTGTTAAATGCAGAACGGGAAAATAAGTGAGGTTTCCAAACTTCCACCGGAAGGAGTTGAAACGGAGTTAAGAATAATTGTATCTTGTAAACACATACTGTGCTTTGTTTGCTGTCTATCTCATGTTGTCACTTACGATTATCCTTAGCTGCAACTTTAAGGTTGTCTCAGGATCCATAGATCTAGTTCCAAAATGCAGCATCCTTCTGAAACCTCTTTTTTTTTTTTTTTTTTTTTTTTTTAATTTAAAGGGAGAAAGAGGTAGTATTCAGGAAGGTCCTTTTCTAGAGGCGGGGCCCAGAGTAACATTTATTTGAAGGGCTATCTGTGATCTGAATGAACTTGGGTCAGATGATTTATCTCTAAAATGTGGTTGTGGATTGTGGGGATAAAAGACAAAATACATTTAAAAAAATGTTACAAAGAGCTCAATCCGCAGTCTTTCAAGTTTCATTAGGGAGGAGAGGAACAGGTATATCTGCCTCGAGAAAGATAAACTTGAGGGATGATACTTGTTCTGTTTGGCCTGATAGGTTATGTGGGTGGGAGCTGCAAAGTGACAATCATGTAAAGAGGACCTTTGTAAAAGTCAGAAGTCCCTGAAGACAAAATGGAGTACCTTAAAAGGCAGGGAATTCTTTCTCACTGGAAGTTTTTGAAAAATTTGATTACGAAAATAATGTGAATTTATTTTATACTACTTGGCAAGTACAATTAAGTATAAAGAAGCAGGAAAAAAAAACCCCTCACTATTTATTCCATTTAAAGGCAGCTCATTTTTAGCATACTTCTGGTATTTCTCCACATGTTTTTAATTTTAAAAAATTTACATTGATAATACATTCATATTCCTGTCAGCGATCCAGTTCTCTTCTGTAGAGATCACCAGTTACTACCAGAGATAGTTTTCTCACTTGATTTGGTAGCATAAGCATCTTTCTATGTCATTTAAAATTCTTCATAACGTTTCTTTTTCTTCTATGGACAGATTGTTTATTTAATGTTTCTGAATTAAACGTTTGGTTGCATATTTGTCGTGTGTCTGTAGGTTGGAGATTTGTGGTGTTTCTAGTTTTTAATTGTATATAACACGTACACCTTTGTGTATAACTTTTATTGTATTTGGATTTTTCTTGAGAGATTTCTCAGAAATGGATTTACAACATCAGTAGCTAAAATACATTTAAGACCCTTGAAACGTTTTGCTAAAATACTTTCCTGAAAAGGTGTGCCAGTTTACACCACTATCGGCAATGTTTGCATGTGACCGTTGACAGCATTAGATACTCTAGATTGTAACAGCTTTGCTAATTTGATGGATTGAAGGTGGTATCTTAATGTACTTTGCATTTCTTGCACTATTTGTCAGGGAGCATCAGTCAGCTGTTTATTAGCTATTTAATTTTTTGTTTTGACTTTTGAGTTTTTTGGAGTGTGTTTCTGTCCTGTATTCTTGGCCTAATTATTGTGATTTCTATTTATTGGGATTTTGTGGACTTTTAAAATGAATTTGTATAAACTTTTTTGTATATTAAGGAGATATATATTTACAACCTATTGCAGAACTTTAATTTATTTGCCCCCTCTTTTAAATAGAAGATATATATTTTTATGTAGTCACTTGGTTTTATTTTTTAGATTTAGTTCCCCTTTATGCTTAACAAATCCTTCAGAATTGAATTGATACTATTTTCTTGTGTGGTAGAACTTAATTTTTTTTTCATTTTACTTTTTAATATATGATTAATGTTAGCATTTGGTGTGAGGTGAGGATCTAGATAGATTTCAATTTCCAAATAACCAGTCAGCTGTCCCAGTATCCCACTGAATAATCTTTTGCGAAGCCCATTGACTTAAATGCTAGTTTTCAAGGAGGCTTTTAAGTGTGAATTGGATTATTCCTTACAGAAAATAATAGAGGCTATTTAAGAATTAGAAGAAGTTATTTTCCATAATTTTTTAGCGTTTGTTCCAGTCCTCACATACTATGCGTCATTTTCATTGCCTTCTACTTATAGATGTTAATTGATCAGTGCTGTTGATTGAAAACTAAGTTCGTAATGATCAACAATATGAAGTTAATGACCTTTGAATAGCTGCTTTATAGATAAATAAGTTACGATTCATTACATTCCAGGAAGGCATTTTTTTCTGAGCAGAGGTGGATCTTTGGACTCAGAAAGCATTTTCCTGAATATTTAATTTGTTCTGCTTTAACTGCTGGTTATCCTGTTTTAGGAAGGAAAAGAAATAACATCCTTTTGCTGTGAGAAACACAAAGTTCTAACATAAACATTTTAACAATTTGTAAATGTTTAAGGTCATTTGGTTTAGTTCTGTGTTTCTAACAATTTAAGCTATAGCTGGAGTGGTTATTGTTTCCACAGATTATTCTTTTGTGCTGAATTGGTATATTTTACCTCTCAACGAATGTTCAAAGGTGTGGCTGGCCAAGGTGCTGATTTGTATAGGAGGGTGCTATTAGAGAGGTTGGTTGGTTATTTGTTTATTTACAATTCTTTTCCTTAAATGGTGTGGAACTTGGGAAGAGGAAGGGCTAGATTTTAAATCATGTTGCGTTTTATATAACAGTTTTATTTCTTTAGGAAATGACATTGGAAAATTTTAGAGTTGGTTTAAAAACACTTTTGCCTTTTCTTGGCATTAAGTGTTTCAAATAGCATGTGTTATTGACACTTATTTGTACCTTGTTACCCTCTAGAAAATAATAATGGGCTTCAACAGGTATATTATATTTCTTGGTGCTGTGGGAAAGAAGAGGCCAGTGAGTGTGAATCATGATTTTTTCAAAATTTGTAAATATTGTAGTTTTAAGCTTCATATATAACCTTACTCTCTCTCAGTCTCCAGGAGAAAAATAAATTCTTGATCCATATTTGTGAGTGAATATTCTTCTAGTTTACTTGTGAGACAGATGTCAACGGACTTTGAAAAGGTTTTATGGAAAGATAGGCTTGGAGGAAATCCACGTTAGCCTTGGATTAAATCCTAGTAAGAAATTTGTAGCTAGGGTGCAGGACATGCTATCGTAAAATATAGTACCTTGGCATATTGAATATTTTAAACTGAGGGAATTTGAGAAAACAGCAGAAGCAGGAAGGTCACTTGGACCTCTCCCATTTTGCCCTTTTTTCCTGAAACAGGCCATAAAATCCTCATGTGAGAGATGCCCTCCCTATGGCTGGAGGAAAGGAGCATCCTTATCTCTGAAGACAAGTGGCCACCAAGAAGAATCCTAACAAACAGGCCTTGCTCAGTCTCTCCTAGTTTATCTCATTTACCTTATACTTCTTAACCTGTCATGTTCCTCCCGGATTGTCTCCCCTTCATTGAACCCAGCGTAAAAGTACATCGGTTTCATGGTTTCTTTAGGTCCTCACTTCCTTATGAAGGCTTTTGTGTCACGTAAACGTTAAATAAAGGTGTACACCTTTCTATCTTTGTTAGTTTAATTTTCAGACCCAACCAAGGACCCTAAGAGAGTCTAGGAAAACTTTTTCCACCCCTACAATATCAAGACTGATTAAAAAAAAAAAAAGTTGAGCTATAATTCGCATCCCATAAAATTTACCCTTTCAGTGGTTTTTAGTGTTGTATATTCACTAGGTTCTGTAACCATCACCACTGACTCATTCTGGAATATTTTCATCCATCCCAAATGAGACTCCATACTTCTTAAGCATTCTCTTCTCATTTCCCTTTTCTCCCATTCCCTGGCAATCACTAATCTACTTCCTGTCTCTGGATTTGCCTATTCTAGACATTTCGTATAAATGGAATTGTTCAATATGGAGCCTTTTTTTGGTCTGGATTTTTTCCTTTATTATGTTTTCAGGGTTCACCCATATTGTAGTATGTATCAGTACTTTTTTTTTTTAATCCTCATCCGAGGATATGTTTATTGATTTTAGAGAGAGAGGAAGGGAAGAGAGAGAAAAAGAAAAACATGATGTAACATGGATCAGTTGCCTCCCATTCTCGTCCCAACTGGGAATCAAACCTGCAACCTAGGTATGTGCCCTGACCGTGAATTGAACCCACAACCTTTTGGTGCACAGGACAATGATCGAACTGAGACACCTGGCTGGGGTTCAGTACATCTTTTTATGGCTAAATAATATTCCATTGTATGTATATACCACATTTTGTTTATCCATTCATCGGATGATGGACATTTGGGTTGTTTCTACTTTTTGTTAATTATGAATATTGCTGCTATGAACATTTTTATGTGCAAGTTTTTTAAACATTATGTTTTCCATTCTCTTGGGTATATATGTAGAAGTGGAATTGCTGGGTCATATGACTCTGTGTTTAACTTTTTGAGGAACTGCCAAACTGTTACTCAAGGAAGCTACACCATTTTACATCCTCACTAGCAGTGTCTGAGGGTTCCAGTTTCTCCGCATCCTAACTAACACTTAGGTCCTCATTTTGATTATAGTCATGATAGTGAGTGTGAAGTGGTAGTTTTGATTTGTATTTCCCTAATTACTAATGATGTTGAGCCTCTTTCCATGTGCTTATTGTCCATTTGTGTATCTTCTTTTCTTTCTTTCAGTTTTATATTGGTTTCAGGTGTTCAGCTTAGTGGGTAGGCAATCATATATTTACATAAAGTTCTCAATGTTTCTAGTACTCCAACTGGCACCATATATAGTTACCGTAATATTATTGACTATATTTCCTATGCTTTACTTACATCCCCATGACTGTTTTCTAACTACCAATTTGTACTTCTTAATGCCTTACCTCTGTTACCCGGTCCCCCAACCTCCCTCCCCTCTGGCAACCACCAGTTTGCTCTCTGTATCTATTAGTCTGTTTTAGTTTTGTGTGTTTGTTTATTTTGTTCTTCAGATTCCACATATAAGTGAAATCATATGACATTTGTCTTTCATTGACTTACTTCACTGAGCATAACACTCTGTAGGTCTATTCCCGCTGTCACAAATGATAAGATTTTATTCTTTTGTATGGCTGAGTAATATTCCATTGTATATATTATATGTACCACAGCATTTTAAAACTTTTTATAAAAGATTTTATTTATTTACTTTTAGAGAAAGAGGAAGGGAGGAAAAAAGAGATAAAGAGAGACAGTAATGTGTGAGATACATAGATCAGTTGCCTCTCAGACACCCACAACGGGGGAACCTGGCCTGCAACCCAGGCATGTGCCCTGACCAGGGATCAAACCCGTGACCCTTTAGCTCACAAGACAGCACATGATCCACTGAACCACAGCAGCCAGGGCTGTACCACAGCTTTTTTATCCACTTGTCTATTGATGAGCGCTTGGGATGTTTACCTATCTTAGCTATTATAAATAATGCTGCTGTGAACATAGGGATGCATATATTCTTTCGAATTAGTGTTTTGGGTTTCTTCAGACAAATCCCCAGGAGTGGAATTGCTGGGTCATAAGGCAAATCCATTTTTAATTTTTTGAGGAAACTCCATACTGTTTTCCATGGTGTCTGCACCAGTCTGCATTGCCACCAACAATGCACAAGGGTTCCCTTTTCTCCATATTTCTCACCATTGTATATCATCTTTGGAGAAATGTCTATTTAAGTCCTTTGTACATTAAAAAAAAAATATGGAAGAACTGTGTGTGAGGTCCCAAGGTGCCTACTTCAAAGGGGACTGAGGCATCATTGTCCTGTGTACAATGTTTCTTGTGTCTGGTATCTTCTTCAGTAAATGTCTCTATGTTTCATATTATGTGGCTGGATACTTTATGAATAGATTTGTAAATATTTTCTCCCATTTTGTGGATTGTCTTTTCACTGTCTTGATAGTGTTCTTTGAAATACAAAACTTTGAAATTTTTAGGAAGACTGATTTTTATATATATATATATTTTTAGGGGGGTTGCTATTCTTTAGTGTCATATCTAAGAAACCGTTGCCTAATCCTAGGTCTCGAAGATTTACACCTGTGTTATTTTCTAAGCAATTTTACAGTTTTTGCTCTTACAGTTAGGTTTAAGATTGATTTTTAACCTCAAAGTTAGTCTTAGCTTTACCTTAAAACACTTTTGAGTTGGTAGGTACCATTGCCTTTTTTTGTGTGTAACTTTGTCTTTCTAAGGTTTTGTTGAGGTTTTGTTTTTATGGGTTTTGGTGTGTTTGTTTTTAGTTTATTTGAATCTACCCACCTTCATACTAAGACCCAGACACACAACTACATTTCCACTTTAAGAAGCACTTAATAAATTACCAAGTATCATATAGAACTCAAGGAAGAAATTATGTAAATATTTTGTGGTAAAGAAGGTAGCTCGCACAGTTTGAGTGGGAAGATAAGAGTGGTCACTTTTAAAAAAAGATTTTATTTTCAGAGAGAGGAGAAGGGAGGGAGAGAGGAGAGAAACATTGATGTGTGAGAGAAACATCAATTGGTTGCCTCTTGTTCACCTCCAAATGGGGATCCAGCCCACAACCCAGGCATGTGCCCTGTCAGGGAATTGAATAGTGACCTTTTGGTTTGCAGGCCAGCACTCAATCTACTGAGCCACACCAGCCAGGGCAACAGTGATCACTTTTAAACCTTAAATTAGTCAAGATTGAATACAAAACTCCTGAGGAGGAGAATATTCTGTTTTAGTAGAATCAAAGGGAGAGCATATATGTTCATTGACTGTTCTTAAAACTTGAAATGAAACAGCAGGAAAAAAGCAACTTTTCAATCTTTTAGTCTCTGCTTCAAGTACTGTACATATGTATAAACCATTGCCAATTATGTTCATCCTAATCAGGAAAGGGATAGAGAAAAATCACCAGCTGGGGTTACTTTAGCTGTGCCTTTTTAAGGAAAACAGGACCTGGCTGTGAATCTATTGAATAGTCAAGCTATTTAATAACTATGCGGCTTTGGGCAAAATTGTCCTTCTTAAATATGTTTTCTCATTTGTGAAATAGGGATTCTGAGAGTGTCTGCCTCATAGCATTATTGGGAGGGTCAAATGAGACAGCATACTGTCTGTCTTAATAAATATTTGTTGTTTTTGTTATTGCTTATTCTGGGTTAATGACTATTTGTAATATTTCAATAATTTGGGAGAAATGAGAGTGCCTGTCTTTTCTCATCTCAATTATCTTCTTGTTTCTTAGTCACAGACATTTTAACCCCAACTTGAAGAAAGTGGTCAGTTTAAATCTTTTTATGAAATGAGGTATTACCTTGTTCTATTTATATTTAATTCTTATTTCCTTTCTTTGCATAAAGCTAAAATTGATGTAAACGTGGCCATGCTTCAAGAATCCAGAGTTTATAATAAGACCACGGGGCAACAGTTCTGTTATGAAAACGTGCTTGTCCCAAAGTGGCATGATATATGGACACGGATACAGGTAATAATTTGGACCCCTGGCAGGGGCAGCTTCTGTTACTGTCTGTCTGTATTAGTGAGTACTGTGACACTCTTTTTCTCTGACACAAATTTAAAAAAAGTATTATTCACAACCTTGGTAGAGTTGAGATTATCCTGCATTGTGTTTTCACCAATAAGCATTTATGCCTACTTTATGTTCCTCTCCCTGCTCATTTAAGTAGCTTACAATACTTGGCTCAGAGGTAAACTACCTTCCTCCCTTTCCAGAAGAAACTCCTTCCTTTTCTTGTCCTCTTTCCTTTTGCGCACACACCCCTACACATCTCTCTCCTTTTAAAGACCTTATGCCTTCCTTGGCCTGGGAACTGTTGTGTGCCATTCAGGATGTAAACTCTTGCCTTGCTGTTCCTATTTTGATTCTATACAAGATATTTCATAAACTTCCTGAACTGAAGTTTCCTCTTGATAGAATGACTTTGGTCTCATTTATTTGATAACACCATTAAACCGTCTGGTAAATCTGGTGTCTGGCCATAATAAAGATTGAACAAAATGAGTTGTTTTGAAAATGTTGCAACTGCTACAAGCATAGTTACTGATCAGGGCATTTGTTCATATCAAAAACATAAGGGTGGGCCTGTGGGTTTTTTTTTTAAATTCTGTGTTTTATTATCTGATATAAAGATCATATTCCATCTGGGGCAAATTATAACCAACATTTACCGTAATCAGTGATTTGTGACAAAGGATTAAACTTCTCAGCCTGTCATTATGAGAAACATTTTCCGGGCTCTTTATGCCTGGCAATTTTCTTAATATTCTAGACCCTTGCTTTGTATGATCTTTCATAAGTAGCTGTATTGCGGAAGTCTTTTTTTCTCCCTGTGTTCTGGCCTAATGGTAGGTTCAGATCATGTTAACAAGACATTCTAACAGCTGCCTCTGCCATGTGCAGTGTTTTAGCTGCTGCATCTCTATATTTTTCTCATAAGCCTGTGGATAACTAGTGCCATTTCTGATTTAGATGTTGACTCTAAAGTGGTTTTTAAAAAAAAAAATTGTATATGTGAAAAACTTACCTTGCTATTATTTGTGTTACAGATCCGGGTAAATAGTTCCAAACTGGTACGAGTCACCCAAGTGGAGAATGAGGAGAAACTGAAGGAGCTAGAGCAGTTTAGTATCTGGAACTTTTTTTCCTCCTTTTTAAAAGAGAAATTGAATGACACCTATGTAAACGTGGGTCTGTACAGCACAAAAACCTGCCTCAAAGTTGAGATTATAGAGCGAGACACCGAGTACAGTGTCACTGTGACCCGCAGTAAGTCTTACCTGTGTTTTTCTGATGGATTCTATGATGAGAAGGGACTGAACTTCGGACAGTATAATTAGTGAGACAGAGGAGTCAGCCCAGGATAGCTCCATTTTGGTTCTGATTATAAAGTGAGTTCACCACTGCTCCAAACAATTTAGAGGCACTCCACCCCGCATAAAACCCTTTAGGCCTAGAATCGAGACTTCACCTTAGATCATTCTCAGTCCTCCTTACCTAGAATTGTGAAGACAGGCATTCCTAATTCTTCCAGTATCACTGACCTAGTATCCCTAGTATTCTTTAGAGTAAGAGAGATGTATTCCTGTCCTCTGGGCACTCCTAGACCAAGATAGATGTCCTGAAATGTACAGGTCTGCATTTGAAGACATGAGTGGTTCAACAATAAAAACTAAAGAAAAGTAGAACTGAATATTAATACTTCACAAGTAGAAAGTAAGAGTGCAATGATAAATATGAAGATCACTGCAGTTTAAGGTTTATTCAGTGAAACTGGGAGAAGCATTCCCTTCTGTAAATGTCTGAAAAAGTTTCTCAGAGGAGGCAGATCATCTCCTTGAATTCTCTATGACTTGCCTTTCCTTGGTTACCACCCATGGTCCTGGATTGTTGGGAATAGTAGAACCATTCCTGGGTTTTGCTGCAAAATGTTTTGTGTGCCCGTCTAATTGTCCTGGAGTTTCATAGTTCTTTGGTTGTATAGGATTGGCTTGGGTTTTTGTTTTGTTTTGTTTTTTGTATTCCTTTTATATTTACTGATCTTGCTTCTGTTCCTTTTTTGCTCTTGAACATGAAAGCTCTGGGAGTACCTGTTATGCCACTAAGTACCCTCTACTTGGGCTCCCTCGTCCTGGGTGAGATGTATTTAAGTGTAGACTCTTCCAACACAGTGGTTGTGTAGTGAAGGGAAGCAAATGGTGGTGTTGGACAAGAAAAACAGCCAGTTAGAGAACAGCAGAGGGCCCTGACCCAAAGGCCTTAGCTAGGCAAATCTGATAAATCCCAGCCTGAGTGACTTAAGGCTTGAAAGCCAGAGTGGTAGAGACCCCTTGTGGGCGATAGCATGAAGTGCTAATGGCACTGTGCCTGGTTCTGTCCAAAGCAAAGCCTCATTTCTTTTAGCCTTGATAGAGGTAGCCAAAATAAAAAGAGATCTTCAGGAAAGTTCAGGTTAGACAGAGATCTAATTACATTTTCTCTTTGGAAGGGTGCCCGGGCTTTATGTGGAATTTATAATGCTGTTTTGGTGGGCTGTTAGCCGTTATTTTATTAGCTGACCAATAATGCCAACATCGCCGTTTATTCTCTACAGTAATTCCTCCGTATCCATGGTTTCACTTTTTGTGGTCTCAGTTACCTGTGGTCAACCTCAGTTGAAAATATTAAATGGGAAATTTCAGAAATAAAAAACATCAATAAACAATTCATAAGTTTTAAATTGTGAGCCCTTCTGGGTAGCATGATCAAATCGTGCACCATCCCATCTGGACACAAATCATCCCTTTGTCCAATGTATCCACGCTGTACACCATCCTGTTGGTTCCTTAGTAGCTGACTGGGTTATGAGATTGATTGTCACAGCTGACTGTCCCTGTATTGCAGTGCTTGCATTCAAGTAACCCTTCGTTTACTTAATAATGGCCCCAAAGCACAAGAAGAGTGATTTGGGTAATTCAGATATGCCCAAGAGAAGCTGTAAAGTGCTTCCTTTAAGTGAAAAGGTGAAAGTTACTGACTTAGCAACAAAAAAAAGTTGTATGCTGAGGTTGCTAAGATAAATGGTGAGAATGAATCTTCTATCCATGAAATTGTGAAGAAGGAAAAAGAAGTCCATGCTAGTTTTCTGTCACACCTGAAACTGCAGAAATTGTGGCCACAGAGCATGATAAATGCTTAATTAAGCTGGAAAAGACATTAAATTTGAGGGTAGAAGACCTGAACAGAAAACGTGTTTCTGTTGATGGCAGTGTGTAGCTCCAGAAAATACTGAACCTTTATGAAGACTTCAGCCAGGGATCCCCGAAACGAATGACCACAGTCACTTAAGTAGTAGCCTTTATTACAATTTATAGCTATAATTATTCTATTTAATTATTAGTTATTGTTGTTAATCTCTTCCTGTGACTATGGTTTTAAAGATCTTTATTTATTTTTAGAGAAAGGGAGGGAGAAAGAGGGAGAGAGTTATCAGTGTGTGGGTGCCTCGTAAACACCCCCAACGGGGGACCTGGCCTGCTACCCAGGCATGTACCCTGACTGGGAATGGAACCAATGACCCTTTGGTCACAGGCCGGCGCTCAGTCCACTGAGCCACACCAGTCAGGTTTACTGTGCCTATTTTATAAATTAAACTTTGTCATAAATGTGTATGTATAAGAAAATACAGTATATGCAGAGTTCAGTATCATTCAAGGTTTCAGGCATCTACTGGGGGGTCTTGGAACGTATACCCCACAGATGAGGGGAGACTACTATAATGCCTTATATTGTTTGATTCCCCTATTAAGCAAAAGTCTCTGTTTATTTCAGGATTTGACCCCAAGCTCTTTCTTGTTTTCCTCCTTGGACTTACATTATTTTTCTGTGGAGACTTGCTGAGCAGGTAAGTTCCAAGGCTGGAGTGCGGAATGACGAGGCTCAGACCCACCTTACCTGATTTTTTTCATAAAAGCTTTCAGTGCTGCCATTTCCTTTTCCAGGGCCTTTATGGCTAGACTGTTGCCTGCTTGGATAATTTTTAAAAATACTTTATATATGTGTTATGATTTTTGTTTTTTTTTCTTCTATTGAAGAAGGTTCGCAATAATGAAATCCCCCTATTAGGTAGACCCATCTTGTGGTGGGATTTAGCCAATACATCAACCACTCTTTCCACCATTAGAAATAATGTGTTAAGCCCGTCTTTTTATTTTTATTTTTAAACATCAGTATGTGGTTGCCTCTCACACACCCACCACTGGGTGCTCAGGCCGCAACCCAAGCATGTATCCCAGATGAGAAATGAACTGGCAACCCTTTGGTTTGCAGGCTGCTTCTCAATCCACTGAGCCACACCAGCCAGGGTCTTATTATTATTTTTTAATTTTTATTTATTGATTTGAGAGAGAGAGACATCAGTTTGTTGTCTCAGTCATGCTTATTGGTTGCTTCTTGTGTGTGCCCTGACTAGAGAGCAAACCCACAACCTTAACTTACCAGGATGATGCTCTAACCAACTGTGCTACCTGGCCAGGGCCAGGCCCTTATTTTTACTGGGCTATGTGTTGATAAGTTTCATGACAGTTCAGAGGCAAAGAAACAAACATTAACTACTTACTCATTTCCTGCCTCTAGGAACCTACTAGTTAAAGTAGGTGAAACTGACATGTACAAATATAAAGAAAACATGTAGGAAACTAAACAAATGTTGAACAAAGGTAGAAGCAACATCGACTTTGCATACAAGTAAAAAGAATACTTGTGGAATAGCAAATAAAAGATTAACAATTGGAGTTTGAAGTTGGGCTGGAGTGAGGTTGGTGGAAGTTGTTCCTTCTTTTGGGGATCCTGAGAGAAACTCACAAAGTGGGGAATAACTAAGAGTAAGGAACTCTGTTCTAGGCCCTGTGTTTGGTTTATCCTGGATAATCAATTCAGTTCCAGTTTCCAGTTCCCACAAGTGTAATGTATTTGTTCCTTACTTCTCCCCAGGGAAGCTGTACAGTTCCTCAGAAAAAAAGATTCTTATTAAAATTTGGATTGGGAGAGGTGCTGGGATGGGAGTGGGAGACTAAGCAGATGTTTATTAACGGGATATACTTGAGGGGACCTCACTGACTTTAATCCTCATAATCTGGCAGCAACTATATTGTTCTGGTCTCTTCAGTTTTCTGACCTCAAGTTTTGGGCAAATAACTGCTCTAATCTTGTACCATTTTTCTGTCTTTTGGCTGGGATGGTTGTCCTACTTGGAACAGTGTCATGTATGAAGAATACATACACAGTCATACAATAAATTTTTCTCTCTGCAGAAGCCAAATCTTCTACTATTCCACGGGGATGAGTGTGGGAATTGTGGCCTCTCTGCTAATCATCATTTTCATACTGTCCAAGTTTATGCCCAAGGTAAGTAGTAGGATACTCGTGCTTAAGGTGAGCTTGGATAGTTGAAGGATGGTTTTTCTTGGATAATCTTAGAGCACTGAAAATTTGCATTGATGACTAAGTCAATGTCCTACTCTTCCTTGATTCAGAAATGTACTTTTTGTGATGAAACTTGGAGGCTGATTGCATACAAATTCTCCTTTTTATTTAAAATTCTTTGCTCAGTGGGGGATTAAAGTCTCCTTCCTGTTTGCTAAGTACCGTAGTCAAGATTTTAAGTTATTTAGCATCTCATTTTCCCAGTGTTCTTTGCAGGTTGTACCATTTTAATATAAAGGAAACCTTTGTAAGAGATGTGTTTTTCAGTAGGGTTTTTTTTTTAACTTTTTTTCTCCATTTTGCTTTTATGTATGGCAAGCCTTTTGTAACATTTTGTTTTCACTTCTACTCTGTTTTAGAAAAGTCCCATTTACATAATCCTGGTGGGAGGCTGGTCCTTTTCGCTGTACCTCATTCAACTAGTTTTTAAAAATTTACAAGAGATCTGGAAGTGTTACTGGCAGTATCTCTTAAGTAAGTGTTGTCAGCTTTGCTTTCCTTTTTATATATTTATAGGCTATTTTAGTTAATTTGATCATGAAATTAACTTTTAGGAGTTTAAAGTCTGCCATTTCATTAACTTTTAAGAATCATAGTTCTTCACTTATTTCTAAACCCTCTATAGTAGTTAGCCTCTCTTCAATTAAAATGATTCTGCTCAGGAGAAGCTTTGAATTTGTTGTTGTTGATGAGTACACCTTTCTTTACACAATAGACATCTTTCTGAAACTCTAAATTGACTTTATTAATATTTTAAATACAATTACATTAAGAAATAATTCTGTGGTGAATCTAATCTATAAAGCAAGAATCCTTTGTACAGATAATAACCCTTAATCTACCCTTTGAGAGGTGATTAACCTGGATTTCCATATATTGGGTTTTTTAAACAGACTATTGTAGAGTTGTTCAATGTGTAACAGTGCTCCATTTGAACCAAGTAAATTTGGAACAAGAAGGGATAGAACTTAGAGATAAATATATCTGAGTAATGAAAAAAGTATGAATAATTGAGTGAAGATTTTGTCCATTTTCCTGGTTTAATTGGTGGTATATAGTGAATTTACTGCTGCTACCTACACAAAATATTTTACTAATGATCGATGAAAACGAATGTCTTCTGGTAACTCTCCTCATAGGCTATGTCCTCACAGTTGGATTCATGAGTTTTGCAGTCTGTTATAAGTATGGGCCCTTGGAGAATGAACGAAGTATCAACCTGCTGACCTGGACCTTGCAGCTGATTGGCCTGTATTTCATGTACTCGGGTATCCAGATCCCACACATTGCCCTTGCCATTGTCATCATCGCACTGTGTACCAAGAACCTGGAGTACCCTCTTCGGTGGCTGTACATCACCTACAGGTGACTGAAAGGCAATGTAACTAGTGAAAAGTGGAATGTGTGATGCAGTTGCAGCAAAAGGATAAAGAGGTGTTGGCCTCCGAGCCTATTTTCTAATGAATTTTTATTGTATTATTGCTTCTGTTTTTGTCCTCCTTCAGTCTCTTTCTTTAGACTCTTCATAGGTGTTTTTATAATTTCTAGCCATTTTATGTAAAATAAAAGCATCCAGTAAGGTGTCATGTGTTCCTATTACCACTAGGTGGTGCAGCGGATATTACTTTTATATCAAATGCCTCAGGTCACTGGGTTTCGGCTTATTTCACATTGGCTCACAGATTGCCCTGGGAATTCTGGTCTTAACATAAGTGTAATTCATAGCATGTTATCACCTTTCATAGTGAATATGGAATGACCTGAAGCTGTCAGTGGTGGTTCTAGTACAGATAGTCAAGGTAATACCTTCAGTTTGGGGAACCAAGTTTATGGGCCAAGTTTATACCATCATTTTTTGGTCATTTTCTCAGTTTTTGGAAAATAAATACCTTATTTGTCATTTATTGGAAAGTTTGTGAATTTATTTATATTAGTGAATAATGTTGACTGTCCTGACTGGTCATTCATAGTCTACATGTCAAGAATACATTATAACTAAAGATCTGTGGAAGAATGGTGGGAGTCATGACTCTTAAAAATTCAGGCTCTCTACTATATGCTTGGTCCACTAAAGGGAGCTAGAGCTGAGGGTGCATGTAGATTACTGATTAATGATTCATGGTGTTATTTTGGTGAGCACAGAAAGATGTGTAAGGCAACAGAAAAGATTGCTCCCCCTCGTCTCCTGACAGAAGAAGAGTATCGGATACAAGGAGAGGTGGAGACCCGGAAGGCTTTAGAGGAGCTTCGAGAATATTGTAACAGTCCAGACTGCTCTGCTTGGAAGACTGTTTCTCGAATCCAGTCCCCAAAGAGGTAAACTCTTGGCCAGATATGCCAAGCATTTGCCAGGGTAATTTTGTGACCTTGAGTTTTAACAAAGATTACCTAAAAGATACTTCAAGGTAATCATTTTGTATTTGTATTTATTTTCCTGTTCATGTATGAGTAGTCAGGAGAAAGGTATGTATATCATCATATGTTAAATAGTAGCCTATTTTTTGGGTCCTCAAGGAACCATCTTCTCTAGCTATGACTGATGATCGTAGCATTGAGATGAGAAGACTCTAGCACCTTATCGAGATTTCCCTCTCATAATATTGCATTGCTCTTTGAGTGGTGCGTGTGTGTGTGTGTTTGTTTGCAGAGTAGAGGTTGGGATTTTTTTTTTCCCTTTTTATTTGGGAGCAACTCTACCAATAAGTATATGAAGCTTTAATTTGGAATCCTGATGGCATAAAGTTTATAGGATCATAAACATGAACAAATGTGGAATGACCCTTAATCTTTTCTTATCAGGATTAAAGATGACTAAGGGAACCTTGGCACCTCCATAACTAAAAGGGATAGAATGGTGCTTATTAAGCAGGATGGAGTTTCAAGGAAAGTTGGCCTATGACCTCAGCTTCCCTTTTCTCCTTTTTTCTTGCTTAACTGTCAGAGTAGAGAGAGGGACGTTGTCTAGACTCAGTATAATTTGAGCATGTCAAGGGTTTCAATTTATTCTTATTTTGAAATAAAACCAGAAAGGACAGAAGGTTTCTAATGAATATTATCTTTTCTTTTCCAGATTTGCTGACTTCGTGGAAGGCTCTTTTCACCTCACACCGAATGAGGTTTCTGTTCATGAGCAGGAGTATGGATTAGGGAGCATTATTGCCCAGGATGAAATCTATGAAGAAACATCCTCTGAGGAGGGGGACTCAGATTCTCGGTACCCCACTATCACACAGAACAGTTTTTTAAGTTAGGTAGTAGCCAGTTATTTTTATGTGTATTGGTTTGGTGCCTCGATGGTGCATGTCTCATGTGTTGTGCAATTGCTTCTCAACTCTTTGAAACAGAGAGAGATGGTGCAGAAATTCTCTCACTGAAATTAGAGGCCTGAGTAGGCCTCCCTCTGAAAATATTGGTGGTCCCTGTGGGATCCCTGAGGAACGAGAGTGGATAAAGCAGTGAATGCTTCCCATTGGCTAAGCTCTCAGCTCACATTTTATGTTTCCAAAGGAACTGGATGAGCACAGCTAGGACAGTATTCTATGTCCTGTCTGAAAGTGGATTCAGTTGTGGCATTTCTGCCACTGTGGCTGGCATTCAGAAATGAGAACTGTCATTAGAGCTTTTCTTCCAGGGAGAAATCCACAAATCTGAGCCTCCTTCACTTCTGGTTTTATTTCAGAATAATCCTTGTTTTACAAGAAAAATGGATTTTTATTTGTCTTATTTTTTAAACAAATATATAAAATTTTAATTTCTTAAAATGTAGGAAACTCATGTTCTGCAACCAGCAAATGCTCCAGAGTGACAAGGCCCATAGACCCCTACATGTTTATTAATATGGATTGTCCATCAAAGCCGCAGAAGCTGTTGTGGAGCTTTGAATTAGTTCTCATATATGTGACATTCTAAGTCCTGCTTGCTTTTAGGAACATGCCTGTGGGCTCTTCTGTAAGGGAGGTCCGTTGGGCTTTTTACTATAGTCAACTTTCAGTTCCATCTTAAAAATAAATTTGCATTCTTCCTTTCCCATTCCTCCTAGTTCCCTTTGCCTTTTCAAGAAAGGTCTATTTCCATACCTGTGAAGTTATATACTATTCAGAGTTTGTTTCATTTCTTATATCCTCCTCTTCTTGATTTTTAGCCTTATTACTGCTAGTTAGAAGTGATCTTATTTAGGGAATTCAGGTTCTCCAATTTTCTTGTCAGTGAGTCACATGTCTTTGAGTTGCTGTGGAATCAGGCAACTATCTCCTTTCCTTTTGCTTCCTTTGTCTACCTTTTCTTCTTATTCTTTTCTGTCTTTCTCTACCATCCATACCCTTCCTCCAAGAAATCTGGCTAATTTTGTAAGCTCTGAAACTGAAGTTTCTTGATACAACATACAAGTTATAGCTATGTAGCTGCCATGGTTTGCATTGCCAGGAAATGGACCTCCAGGTAATCTTCATGCCTCTGGATGCTCATTTAGCCTTAGACACATTTTTCCATGAATTTGTTACACTTATTTTCAGTTCTGTTTCTGACCAGACATTCATGTGGCCTTTTATTACAGTGGCATTAATTTCAGATTCTTTTGCCATTGGAAAGTACCATTGTAAACCAGCAATGCCATTCACAAGGGAGCAAATTTCCAAGTCTCTGTCATTAGCTGGTTCTGTCTTTGTGATCTTCACCCTCATTCCTTGAAAAAAGCTGTAATTACTCTAGTTAGGAAGATAGACACTGATGGTAAGAGCACAGCATTAGGCTTACTGGATTACCATGATCATAGAGACAGGTTTTAAAAAGTCTTAATGATTCATTCAGACCAGGCATTTAGCAGCTAATTTTGAAAAGCCCTGAGCTCCATTACTGACTTCCACATGTGGCCAGTTGATTATTTCCAACAGTGTTTCCCATAGCTTTAAACTGTCCTGGAGTGACAACTACCTCAATTGGCAGCAAATAGACATATAGTAGAAAGTGAAAAATAAGCAGTTTTGGGACAGATGCTAGCTATGGGTTAAAGTTGCAGAGTGAAGGAGCTTTATATTGGAAAACCTTTATGCCTTTGTGAGTTATATACATGGTAAAATTTTACTCTTCTATAAAGAACTGTTAAGACCTCTGGAATATACTATTTTTGTCCTCATTTACAGAAACTGAGACCTAGGATATTTGAGTGTAAGTTGATTTGAAAAAGTAATGCAGCTCTACAAGTAGTCTCAGATCCCTGGGGACTTCAGTACCTTCCCCAAAATAGCTACTTAAGGAGGTGGTAGCTTGCCTCCAGGGCGACTTTTCCTGATGCATGTCTTTATTTCAATGAGAAAGCGTGAGTTAGGGAAAGATTTTTCTCTTTTTATGTTTAGCAAATTCCTTGTGAAATAAAGTTTCCATCTCAAGACCAGTTTTTTTCACTGTTTGAGTTTGATGTGAGTAAAATTAAACTCAGTTTATTACTTCCTATCTAGTAGTTGGAGGCTGAGCTGTCGGCAGTGGAGATGATAGTGGGCCCCAAAGCACGAGAGCTGCTCCCAGACAGTGAAGGACGGAGCCCCTGGTGTGCTGTGTGTCCTTGCCCTGCCTGCCCGTGTGGCTCTGCCCTTGATGCTTCAGAGTCTCTGTGTGCTCAGAGGTTGCTTAACTTAGTAAACCTTTAGAAACTGCTCTTGTCTCCCCCTTGGCCATTTACTCTGCTGGTTCAGTCGCTACCTGAAGCCCCCCGTTTAATTTTCTCTGGCAGTTACAGTTTTTGCAGTTTTAGCAGTCTCATCTCTCAGACTGATCTCATCAGGGACTGCTGAAGGGATAACTGTGGAGTGAGCTGGACATGGAGCCACGTCTGCTGCCATGTCAGCATCTTGCTCTGCAAATATCAAGCTGTCAATTGGCCCTAGGACCTAGGGACTCATCTGCATCGGAAATCTATTGCCTCTAATCGGCCTGACCAAGTCGTATAGAGCATGTCTTTCGTTAATGGGAATGCAAGAGCCGGCTGGCCTAAAGCATTTTCCCTTCACTTTCCCATGCAGATCACTTTCATGAGACGAATGACCAAAAATAAGGAAAGTTTATCAACTTTGATGTCTTCTAACAAGAAATTTCTATCTGCCACTTCATCTCATCAAAACTAATTTATTTCTCCCACCAAATTCTTGACTTTTATGTCTAGTACAAAGGAGATTTTGCTGATAATAGTTCCATTATAGTTCCAGTGTTCCATTTTGTGTTAATACATCCCACTCTAGGGCCTAGCCCTCTCTTCATTAACTGTGTTCCCTTCAATATAATCTCCCCTGAGCATACATGATGGAGATTTGATGAATGAAAGGACCCAAATAGGCCAGATAGTCCCTCCAGGCCCTGATAAAAGGCTTGGGATTGGATTATGCAATTGCCCTCAATCTTTTGGTTGTTTCAGGAAAAAAAAGGGGTGTGTTCAGAGGGATGCCTGCGTATGAACGGTTCGTAGCTGTGTACTCATAACTTTTCTCTGAATTGACTAGTGAAAGTCAGAGTAGGAGGAAAGGAAATTAAATGTCCTTCTTGTATTCCTTCGGTATGACATATGAGATAATACTCTATATTGAAATGCCAAGAATTTTATTGGAACCAAGGAGAGGACCGTTTGAGAGATCTGTTACTCCTTCATGTTTTATAGGCGCTGGAACCAAGTAATGACCATAAAAATAGTCACTGTACAAGGCAAATGCACCTAAAACCTTTTGCTTCTGTTTTGATATAGCAGAAATTGTTTTTTCAGGGAAACCTATGCAATTGTGATCCAGTTGTGTCTCTTGCTAACTTAGCTTATGGATTGATTCAGTTACTGTTGAGTTGGATTCGAAGGGTGTTTGGTGCCTTATGTGACAGGAGCCAGAGCCTGCTGGGAATAAACAACGCAGATTCATGTGAATGTCAATGCACAGCTTTAGTGAGGATGGCAGTGACACACAGCCTCCCTAAGAGTGGGGCTTTGGGTTCCCGCATCCCAACTCGTGTGTCATCTTCCTCTTCGTGCTCTTTTTTTTTAATCTGTATGTTTTTATTAAAACCAAAAGGCTTAAAAAGTGAATTTTATAATGGCTTTGAAGTTCATAAAATACTCCTCTGTCAGTCAAAATATTCAATAACACAATTCTTTCTTCCTGTGCTGTATGGTGTAAATACTCCCTTTTTTGTTGTGTGCAGAGTTTCCCAAATGTCTTTCACACTCTTGACAATAACTTGAAATGGTGAAATCACCGTCTCTGAACTTTACTAGGATGTGGGTAACATTTTTATCATGTTAATATAATAGATAACTTATAATGTATCAAAATTGTTGCAGCCTGCAATTGCCTCAGTTTCCCATGATGGTGAAATATCAGGGATAAGGAATTACTGGGTAAGTTTTAGCCTGTGGGTAATGCCTTAGTGTTATTTAAAAAGATTTTTTAAAAAATTTTTTCATTTATATTTAAAATAAATGTTCTTGACTGTTTGAAAGGAACAAAATGATCAGGGTTGGCTCTTTGCCCTTGGTCTCATTTTTACTCTTCTGTAAGAAAAAATATCAATGTCTTAAATATATTTTTTCATTTTTATTGTACAAGTTTGTAAGTAATACCAATTTTAATAAAGTTTATAGACTGTACAGTGGTTTCTCTTAATGAATACGCACTTTTCTTGTTTGGATTTCTTGTTTGCAGGTAATCATTAATTAGCTCCTCAGTGTTTATCTTTTTCATGAGATGGTTTGCATGCCATCTATTTTCTTTTTTCTTTTTTAACCACTGCTGCCCATCCTGGGTCTGTCTTACACTACTTCCAGCCATGAACTGGATGATTTCCCAAGATGTCAGATCTCTAAGAGGTATTTTTTCTTTTTTAATTTACTTGAGAGAGAGAGAGAGAGAGATTGCTTGATTGGTTGTTACACTTATGTATGCATTCATTGGTTGCTTATTGTTTGTGCTCTGACTGGGGATTGAACCTGAAGCCTTGGTGTATCAAGATGATGCTCTAACCAACTGAGATACCGGACCAGGGCCTCTATAAAGAGTATTTTTACAGGTAGCAGTTTGTACCATTGTGCTGTCTCATAGAAAAACAATGTATAGTTTACTCCTGGTCCAGTGAGCTACTCTCTACTTTAGTTCTTTAATATGTTTTTAATGATATAAACTATTTGTTTTATTTCTCCTCTGGGGTGAGGGGAAGACCCATGGGGCCAGCTGTGACATGCCTGCCAAAAATTAGGGTGGAAGAGGGAGCAGTGCTGTAGTGAGCATTAGAGGGCATGGAATGCAACCTTCAATTATGTGTAGGTCCAGCTTCTGTAGTAGGAGCCTGGTACCTTCTATTCTTTATGTTTTGGCTCTTTTTTTCCCCCTCTGTAAATCCATTACAGCATTTGCATTAATTCTGTACTTGTGTCCTCTTTTCTTAGTTATTTAGATTACATGCAGATTCATTGTCCATATTTCAAAGATGATGAAAGAGGAACAAAACAGGGTGCAGACCATATGTAAATTTATGTAGATTAATGCACACTAATGGCCTCTGTTTGCCTCTATAACTATACTAGGTAAATAAGAAACATAGGTGATCATTAGTGGCTGAATTAATAAAACCTTAAAGCATAACTGCCAGATGTGTTATATCATAGGGTTTTAGGAAGGATAAAA